TTTCTTCATGGCATATTTGTGTTCTTAGGTAAAGGTGGCCTGAAGCAAAAGAAATGAGAAGGAATATGCCCAGGGAAGTGGTTGAGTCACCATCCCTGGAGGTATTTAAAAGATGTGTAGATGTTGTGCTTAGGGACGTGGTTTAGTGGTGGACTTGGCAGTGTTAGGTTCATGGTTGGACTCGATGATCTTAAAGGTCCTTTCCAACCTACAACGATTCTATGATTCTGGGAAGTAACAGCTTAGCTGTAAGTGAGGGCACTGGCTACACCTCTTTTTTTCCCATTTACATGTGTAAGGCAACTTCCAGAGTTTCCTAATTTTATATCAAAAGCTTGGAGACTCTGTGTTACTTGTCTTTCAGTTTCTGGACCTTGAAGGATGAATTTGGGTCATGTTTGCAAATTTATACTTTGCACCATAAAAAGCTAGTTTACTGAAAAAGTAGGGGTTTTTTGGTTGGTTTTTACAGTAAATGCTAATTCTCAAACGATTGCTCACTTTCAGGAGCTGGGACAGTTATTATGAGAGTTGGTACCACTGAAATCTTCCAATTCCATTCCTGCAAGTCAAGTGATTTCATGGTTATGTGCAAGTAGTAAGGAGTGGAGTGGGCCAGTGCTCTGAGCCTGCTCTCATTTTAATGAGCAGCAACTCACACAAGTAATTCCCTTGATTTCTAAAGGGATTAACTGCATGATTATTTGCTGACCACTGTAAGAAAGGCATAATCTGGACCACAAGGTTTATAGCAGATCTAAATGAGTTTCGCGCAGAAGCAAGAATGAAGCTGCTCAGAGCAGAAGGCAGGTCCTACGTAGGAAAGCTGTTGGCAAACCCAGAGCAGTTTGGAGAGACAAAGCCTGGGGAGGTGATTTTGGCGGTGAATTATTTGTGGACATGTATCTGTTGTGGCAGAAGCAGGAGTGAGATGTGTTTGTTCAGCCTGACTCCAGACATGCTGCCCGAATGGGTGGGAAGCTCACTTCCTGGTTTCCATATACCCTCCCTGTTTCCAGACGGATCCCCCACCCTGTGACACAGTGTCACGGTAATGGATTCTTTCTGCTCATCACACCGATCATACAATGGGGGGCTCCCCCATGGTGGGATTCACATACTAACGCTTGTAAGCAGATGAGCTGAGTATGAGCTCCCCCAGGTTTGCCAAAATGCATTGCCCACTTGTGTGTTCTTTCCTGTCCAAAGCCAGCTACAGCCCTAACTCTGTCCTTCAGGATTCCACATCCAGAATCCCCTTCTTTCCCTTCATGCTGGGGTGGTTTTACTCTAGGTGATGGGATGACTTTCTCATTCAGTAAATCTTGACCCTAAGTTAAATGTCATCTATCAAAGATACAAGCAACAACTTGTGGAGACTGCCCATGTCTGAGCAGAATAACCTGGGGCATTAAGTGAAGGATTTTTTTCATCAATTGTATGTATATTTGCAACAATAACAATTTCCTTTAATGGAAAAACGTTTGTCACAGACTAAAGAGTTTTTGACTTTCAGATGCTCTGCAGACATCTAATTAACTGAACTGAAAATCTGCTTATTGGTCTTTGGCTGTTAATCCTCCACATGGGAAGGTGCTGTGACTACCAGGAGTTTCTGTGGTTCAGCCCTTAGCTCTCTCCATTCCCGGTGGCTCCATTTATCTCCATGGTTAGTATCTCCTCTTATCAGAGCCAGGCTGAGGCTGTCAGGCATTGGCTCAGAATACCCCATCTCCTCTGGGAGATTTGGGATGTTTCATTCAAGCCCACTGCAGATTTTTTTCCCCCTGCATCCATCTCTTCCTCATCTTCTGCTTCACATCCTTCTCCATGGGTGGGAGGATACAGAATCCTGCTTTTCTAGGATTTTAGATCTAACTTGCACTGGCTTTGAATGGCCGAACTGGGTGCAGGGAAGCGCTGAGGAAGGCTCTGTGTGTCTGCTGCTCTTTGTTTGGCTTTAACATCCTGAAGGGTTTCCTGCGCTGCAGAGCTGAAGGGCAGTCATTACCTTCTAGTCTGTGTTGCAGGTTCTCCCTGTCATTAGTACTCATCCGTACAGACATTGTCATGCTGGGGGTGCTTTTTTAGGTGTTAATGAGAACAGCCAGGCATAGAGGCAGGGGCAGAATTGCTGGGCTGCAGTTATGTCCTTGCTCAGATCGTTTTTGGGTCTGTTGGGTTTCCCATGTCATGCCTGAGATTCAGCCAGTAGTTTCGTCCTGAACCTCCTGCACAGCAGCCCAGCACCAGTCTGTCTGTCTTGCTGGAGCAGCACAAATGCCAGACCCAACTCACTGGTCCAGAGGCTGATCCGCAAGCCAGCAGCAAGTGTCATCTCAGGTCAGGGGCTTGGAGAGGAACGGCCACACTCCTCCATGGATGCCCAACCTTGTATGGCCTTTTAGAGGAGCAGGAACCTTATGCCTTGGCTTCAGTTTTGCACAAACGTGTGCATGTTTCCCATTGGGATATTGTCTGATATTGAAGAAGATGAGAAATCTTCCATGCTTCAAGGGGACTTTGCACTGGGATAGGCTGTGTCCCCATGAGTTGCATCAGTGACCTCCTAAACGTCTCTGCCAACCCCAGCTCCCTGCCATCCACACCTTCCCAGCGGAGGCAAGAGCCGGGGTGGAAAATGTAGTCTAGGAAAGTTTAGCCAAACTCTTCCAGCTGCAGTTTATTGTATCTATTTTGCTGATATCCACCCTTTAGATAAATAGCACTAGGTTATACACGTTGTGACTCTCTTGATGTGGTTAAAAAGGCTTGTATTAGCCAAGCTAATCTAACTCCAAGAATAACCATGGGAATTTGACTGTGTCGGTTCCAGCTTGGATCAGTCACTGTGTAGTAAAGTGAGAATTGCCTTCCTGGCTAAAAGTGTAGCAACAGTGAAATTTCAAGTCAATCGGTGAGGATTCCGTCCCCTTCATTTTTTTTTTTTTTTCCTTTGAACAAAACTCCTGCCCATGCCTGACCTCAGACACCCAGAGCTCTACCTACAAGAAAACAAAATTTCCCGTTTTCAATAAAAACCGTGTCTCTGTAGGCAGAAAAGTGAGTTAGCTAACAATCCGCAAAGCTATGGTCTATTTATTTACCAGACTGACTCCCTGATGGGGAAACATGTGGGATCTTTTAACTTTTTCTTCTGCACAGATGTTCCTTCTACTGCTGAGTTTCCTCTTGATCTTTGGTTTACTGTACCATATGGTGAAAATGCTGGAGTTCTTGTGTGCGGTGCAAGAGGAGAAGTATTCTGTGTGCTTAGAACAAAAACAGTAAAACAAAAAAATAATTCTGACTGTTTTTTTTCCCCATGTTAGCAAAATATTTTTTAAAGGAAAACTGTTGAGCTAGCAAAACCACTGTTAACTCACACACCCTCAGTGTTGGACAGGTAGCATTGATGAGATTAAAAGCTGATTGATGAGTTCCCTCCATGCAGCTTTTGCTGCCCCTTTAGGTATTTGTATTGAGCTGTAGATCCAGTTCAGGTGAGGAGATAAGGGTCCTGCAAGACCAAGTAAGAGGTCTGATTGCTTTTCTACCATACCTTCCTCAGAGGCCGCAGAGCCTGTGGACCATGGGCTGAAGGACATGTCTCCTGGTGTGTTAGAAATGAGTCACTGGGCTGGCAGGAGCTTTGGCGTTCCCCCAGCCCAAGGGAGCTGCAGCTTCTGTATAGGATCAACAGGGACAATGAGTGTTGCATTGCACATCTGAAATGTGGGAGAAAATGAAATAGAATGTGAAGGTTTGGGTATTTATCTTGGTAGCACCAGGGGCTGAATGACAGCGAAAGGGTGCAGAGGGTGAATGGGAGGGTTGTGAGGCTCGGGCAGTTTTCAGGGCTGGGGATGGTCTCTCTTGGGGCAGGTCCATGAAGGTGCCACTGGAGCAGGTGCTTCTTTCCTTTCTGACTGAGGTGGTGCATGGCCTTTCGGCTGGTGTTCAGCCTCAGTGACTCTGGTCCATCCAGGCTGGTCACCCAAAGAGAAACTGTAGGGCTCGTTTAGGAACATCAGGTCAGCATACTGCTTTCCTAGGCTTGCTTCTGTAGAAAGTCACTGGTGGCCAGCAGTGTGCTCCACTGTGCAAGCTGGCCATAGCCATCAACACCCCTCTGAGCTCCTCAGGTTGAAGGCTGGTTGGAGCTCTGGGATACAACAGGATCCTGAGCCTGGTCGGCCCTTAGGGGTGTGTTAGAAACAGGTGGTTGTGGTGGGCAGGGTTTAGGAACTGATGGGGTGAGATCTTAGCTGATGTCGGTGAAACTCTGGCTCAGGTGATCCATAACCATGTGCTAAAGGGTGCTTGTCACGAGCTGAGAGCACACCCACCTTGAGCTGTGCTTTCTGGCAATTCACGGTGGTGGTTTTCTCCAGGATGCTCTGCTCTCTGAAGCCTCCATCCCTGCTGCCCTTTCTGTGCTGCTGTCCTCCATGTAGAGGCTGCAGTGGGAGGGATTTCCCCAAACCCATCTCTCTGTCCCTGGGAAAGCAGGAGTGCTCTTACTGGATCAGGGCAGTGGGCAGTGCCTTGCCAGCAAGAAGGCAGAGTAGGTGTTTTATTAAATATGCTTTAATCTGGTTGCTTGAACAGCATTTTTAGCCAGGCGGGTGGTCTGTCACACGGACAGGTAAAAACTCTGTCTCCACCAACGTGGGCAGGCTGTGGATTAGAGGCAAGGCATGTGTGTTGTAACAAAGAATGAAAGCCTAATTTTAGAATGCAGGCAAGGCCAGGCTCAGATGTCTGCCTGGGCCCTGTCCCAGCTTCTCTGAGCTGCCAGAAACTTGCCCTCCCTTTCTCGGAGTGAACTGTATCGTACCTTTTTATGTACAGACTCCCTTGCAATGAGGCAGAGTAATTCCTGCAGTTGCTTTGCTTTGCTAATCCTCTTTTAAACCACACACAGACTGAGATCCCCTGGGCCCTACACGGCCAGTCCATGTTTTCCCCCTAAGATGTTTGTTCTGTTTCCTTTACAGATGCAGCTTCTGGACAAGTTCCCTATTGAAGGAGGCCAGAAAGACCCCAAGCAAAGAATCATCCCTTTTCTACCAGGTAATACTGTGAGGAAAGCTCTAAATAATATGGGTGAGAGCAGTTGCGGATTGCAGTTCCCCAACCACCATCTCTAGTACTTTTTGTGACCACTCTTAGAAATGCCTTTTCCCTGGGAGCTCATACATGCAGCCTTGTGATACCAGACCTCCACCTCCTCCTAAAATAGCTGGCATGGTGTTTAGGGCTCCCAGGGGATCTTGCATAAGCTGTTCAGGTTCAGGTTGGTTCGTGCCCTGCCACACAAAGGGTTTCGATGGCTCTGGGGGGCTGTGCCTGAGCTTGGACTGCCAATTGCGAGGCCACTGGAGGCCACAGACACCGTCGTCTTCATTTCTGGATGCTGTGGCTCTGCAGGTGCTGTTACAGTACAATAAGGAATGAATAATTAGAGTTGCCACTGGGATATGAAGGAAACTGAAAGAAGGTTAAATGCAGACAGGGGTTTCTGCAACACTGGCCAAAAAGATAAGGAAATATCTCTTTGGTCTGAGCCACTGTCCCTCTGACAGCTTTCAGAGAGGACCTGGACATGATGGATATCCTCTCCTTAGGGTAACAGCACACACTTCCACACAGCTTCTTCTAGCAGCAACTGCAGGGATGGCACGGGGAGATGAGCCAGACCACAGCATGCTCTTGGAAATGCATGCTTGGGCCAGCTCTCTATTGTCTGACTGCACGATTCTGGCTGTTGGTTTAAAGTTTGGCTCACTGCTCTGCCTGCCAGAATAAATGGAGCGTTTTCAGCCTGTTAAAAGGCCCATTCTGTCTTTAACTATAAAAAGGAGATCCCAGCTCTTCCCCAAAGGTCTGTAAAGAGAAGCTGGGATGCGAGGGCTTAGTCCTCTCCAGGAGTGTGCTGCAGTCCTTGATGCTGTTTGCAGGCAGAGCAGCTGCTCCAGATGTGTGGTGAGCACAGCTCCAGGGCTAGCGGGGAAGCAGAGACTTGGAAACCAGCAGCATAAATACATGACACAAGCTGCAGTAGGGCAGCTGGGCAGCCTCCGTGGACCTTCTGGAAGGCAGCCCCAGGATCCGGGATTGATCTCTGCGGTGCTCTGTGCTGTGTCCAGACCCTCTGCAGCGGGGGGAGGTGGTGTTCCCTCCATTTCCAGCGTGGGATGAGGAGAGGAGTCCAAGCTTGGGCTCTCTTTCCAGCTGTGCCACCAACAAACTCATAGACGAGTCACCTTGTGAAACCTCTGTACGATGAGGATGGATATGGCTGGCCTGCCTTTCTTACTGGAAAGCATTTTGAGATTCTTGAAAAGCACTGTACAGCTGTGCAAATGGCTTTAGGTGAGAGGCTGTAGGAAAATGTCTGTCTGCAGGTAACAGTTGTTCCTCCTGTATTGACTGTCAATGGTCCATTTTTTTTTACTTTGTCCTAGAAAAATGTTGACTGAATGCAGGTGACTGATGCTCAGCCTGTGTGCAGTTCTTAATGATGAATATCCTGATAGATGAGTGGGTGATGTTTGCAGAGGATGACATACATCCCATATGCCCATTACAACACTTCCTACCCTTCCCACTCTCCAAGAACATGAGGGAGATGGTACTGCTGCGTGTCCTTGAGGAGAAGAGTTATATCTGGAAAACATTTGGGTTGACTTAGTGTCCCAAAGAGAAGCTGCCAGCATAGAATAGACCTCAGCTGTATTTAATTTAAAATTTCTGTGATATACGTTCTACTTTTGATATCGAATCTCTGCTTCTTTCTTGAACTGCTGAAAAGCTCTTGTTGCTTTACCCGGGAACAAGGTGACTCAGCTAAATGTCAAACAATGTCAAACTCTGTTAAATAAACTAGCTGCCATAATTAGAATACGCATGGCATTTCTGCAGCTGGAGTCGTGGCTTACTGAAACAAATACCTAACTACAAACTCCTTTAATTAAAAAACAGCAGGGCAGATGTTTGTTCTTAAATCCTACTGTTATGAAGATGTCATGATCTTCCTTGCTTATGATGGGCCTGATTCAGCCAAGCCAGAGTGACTCTGCATGCCGGGTTCTGAGTGCCTGGGGTTTGCCCGTGCCACTTGCAGACTTGGGCAGCTTCCCCCCATCAGGTCTAGTTTAGGAAGTCGATATATGCTAGCCCATGACTCCTGCTTGTCAGCAGTGCTGTGGTGCTCTCCTGAACTAAAGGCATCGTCTTAGCCTGGGAATTGAGCAGCCACCTTTGCAGACCCCGTTGCCGTGGCAGAGGATGCGTACGGGACAGGCTGGCAGGTCATCCATAGCATGGTGGAGCTGCAGCAGCAGCCCGTGCAGCCACTGCTCCATAGGCAGAAGCGGTGGTGGGGGGTGGTACCTGAATCTCCTGCTGCAGCGAGGAGCTGGAAAGGAAGAAGTGAGGGATGGCCGTGGTAGATCAGGCCAAAGGGCCACCTGGCCCTGGTGGTGGCCTGTTGTGGGTCCTGAAGGAAGGGTGAAATCTCTCCCTTTCAACACCCTGACTGTTTAGCAGTCGCAGCAGGGGTTGTGGGATCCAGGATGCTGGGTCTGGTTTTGGTGCGGAGCGGGAAAAAAGAAGATGTCTATAGGAATAGATAAATGGCCTTTGGGACACCTTCCTGGTCTCTCCATGATCATCTGGATGGCATGCAGGGCATGCAGAGGGTCTCATTGGGTGCAAGCAAGCTCCCACATCTCCTTCCCACAGGGAAAGGGCTAGCATGTGCTGAGCTGTCAGCCCAGTAGGATCAGGAGCACCAGTCAGCTATGCATCTGGAGCAAGAGGCTGGACAGTCCAGGTCCTGTTGCTTGGGCACAGTCATGCTGCATCTCAGCTTACTCCACACAACGCAGGGATGGTGATGTATAATCCTGATTTATGAGGAAAGCAAAAGGTTTCGCTGCAGGATTCATCCCCACCTGGGTGCAGATGATTACTGCTTTGATGACTTGTTACGTGTTGGCTGTGATTTTCGCTTTACGCACAGATGATAGCCCCCTTTGCATTCACTGCTGCTGGTTTGGGGCGATGACATAATTGCAAATTAGTGGGCAAGGTGCATCCCTGTTGGGGCAATCAAGATTTAGTATTTGACTGTGCTAGAAGCCTTTTACCTGTAAAAACTAAGGGAAGTGTAACAGTTCAGAGCCTTGCCCTCCAAGGAGAGACCATACTGGGTTCAACAGCAGGAAAGTGGTGTTTTTCTTTCCTCTAGACACCTTTATCTTTTATCAGTTTCTTTCTTCATATATGTTTTTCCCCCACTTCCATCTTACACAAGTAAGGATTATGCAGCTTTCAGTGCCATGAAGAGGCACAAGGAGATAATAAGCAATGTCAAGTAGTCCTGTAAAAGATGTCCTGTGGATAATTTTGTAGTTTTGTTTTACTTTTTGAGAGTCACGTCTATGCTTTCAATTTTTCTGTGAATTCTTTTTTTTTTTACCATATTGAGAGGGCAAAACTGATATTTTTCCTCCCCTTTTGCCATTTTATCTTCTTCCCATGAATTTTCCCTTTCTTCTCTCTGATTTTCCTTTTTACTGTTGGAAAAGTCTGTATCAGAGCAGTGAGGCAGAAGAAAACCACATAAGAAACCCTGTTTGTGGGGTGACCAGAGAACATTTTTGTAGTTAGCAGTACAAAATTTTTGTTTGGGAGGATGGAGGGAGAGTGTGAAAGTGTTAGACTAAAATTTGCTGCAAAACCCCCTTTCTAGACCGAAAACAGTTTGTCACTGTAAGAAGACCCAGATGAAAAGTGCTGTTTGACTGTGCCAGTGTGGCTGTTGGTTGAGCCCATTTGCAATGCACTGATTTCTCCATCACCTCTCCTGCCGAGTATTTGAAGAGCCATCTTTGGAGTGTGGACTTGACACTTTGCTCCCTCCCTGTCAAATACTTTTCTGTCTGCATCATCAGAGAGAAGAGATTATGGATTTGGGTTCCCTATTTCTGGGATCTTGAGGTGATTATTGAAGGAACTTCAGCTGGAAGGAGAGGACCGCCATGCTGAGCTTCTGGAGAACGCAGTGGCAAATACAAATGGAAGAGACCGGGCGATGCAACTCTGAGATTAACAGTTTTGCAGTGTTTGACCCAAGACTCCAGGGCTTGCATTGTTTTTAATTTCTCTCGGCACTAAGTGGAAGAGTCATCTGGAGACAAAGCTGAAGTTGAAGGGATGTCAGCTCTTCTTGCTCCACCGTGTCTTCCAAAGCACGGCCTTGGGGAAAACACATTGCATGGCATGAAATCATCCCATCTTGCTGGCTACTGTGCTGCAGATCCCTGCCGTGGAGAGGGGCTTGGGCTTTCCATGGCACACTGATGATGGCAGCCCCTTTCACTTGCTACCCGATTTGCAGCTTGGTCCTTGCCTGGACTTCAAACCGGTTCTGAGCCCTGCTGAAAAAACAGGAGGTTTTTGCATAGGCTGTGCTGGAAGGGGAAAATCCTCATGGGGTGCCTGCTCTGCAGCTTCCCTGCTGCCTGGAGAGGGAGACAGCGTGCTCGAGGAGACTGCTTTGTTTGCCTGGTTTTCTTTACCCTTGGGAAGCAAAGTCCTATCCCAGGGGCCCAAGGGGATCGGTGCAGGTTGCCCTACCAGCTGGGTCAGGCAGCTGCAGAAGCAACACCACGGCCTGGCTCCAGTCCCTGCCTCCAGCGCTTGGGAGTCTCTGCCAGAGAGGCCCCTTCTCTCTTCCTTTCTTCCCCACTCTGATTTTCCTCCTCCCTTGATTAGGGCAAGGAAAGAAGAAACTCTGCTTTTTGGGGCACGTGCTGCCAGCGGAGCTTGGTGGCTGCGTCCCGGGGCACTGGGAGGAATGCCAGCGTGGCGGATGAGATGTCAAACAGCCGTTGTCTGTGCCCTGATGACCTGCTTTCCCTCCCGCCCCAAGAAGAGAAGCGCCCTGGCACAACCTCAAAGGGGTCTCTGAGGCTTTTCTCCTTCCTCAGCCCCCAGGCAGCGGGAACACACAGTGCCCCTGCTGAGCCATTTCAAGGAGAGGCAGCAAATACAGGGCAGCAGGA